GAATGTGGCTAGGCTGAAATTTTGGAAGTGCTGGCTTTGGTGGTGACCAAGGAGGAAGAAATCTCTGGCTTCCCTGTTGCTGCAGTTCCCACCCTCCAAAATGAATATACCCACCGGTGTGAATTGACAATGTGGTCCAAAGAGCAAGGCAGGAACGGAGTCCAGATCCTCAAAATGGTAGTACAGGGCATAACCACTAGGCCACCTATCAGTTCAGTACAAAAAGTACAACCCTGTGCATCATGGTGCAAAAGCTGGGGCCTAGGTTTCGCATTGTGCATCTCACACCTATGGAAATAACAAGAGGAGTAAAATCTATAGAAATCAACACACCCTAAGAAGGTGGGTGCTCACAGAAGACCGGTGTCAACACTTTTGCAAAGGTGGTTGGCTACTGAGGTAATGAATGGCAATTACAAGTCCAAAGTTGGAAGGCAACAAAATTTTACAATCAACTCTGTTGAGTTTGACAATGAAGAACTCAACATGGGTTTGATGTTTACCAACAAGGCTTTGCAAATCATGACACCCATCTACATGCTTATGAAAATTACTACCCCACTAAAATCTAACATCCTTCAAGAATGATTTTTACCTCTCAAAAGAATTGGAAAGATTTGGGCCATGAAGAAAGGAGGTAATCGGCAATACCCCCAAACCCATTACTCTCAGGTTTTAAACTTTCCCTTTTACCATCTGACCTTGGAAAAAGACATGGTGACACATTCAAAGCTTAAGGTGGAAGAATTCCAGATTCCAGAGAATAGGAAATCTGTGTACCAATGATGTGCCAAGAACAAATGTGGATTGTCTGAGGGTCAACAGTTTTGAAAAAGTAAAAAGAAGGAACTTCTAAAATACAGGGTGGATTCTTTTAAAAGAAATAAAATCACCGCTCTTGACTCACTTAATCCTTCGCCATGTTGCTGTCAGCTCACCAACTAAGAGTGCGAGAGTGTGTGTCTTGCTGGGTCCATTTTCCCATGGTCTGTAGAAGGCGCTGTGAAGCACATCCTGTTCTAGCTCTGGGGCCCTTCCCCCCTCTGCAGCCTTACCCAGTGCAGGGAATGCGCCCCCTACTGACTCCAACACTCATCGCCTTTAGCCGACTTGGCTGCGGTGCATTTTGGGTGGGGGCTGGTATTTTCTTGATGGCCATAAACCAGAAGCAACAATGCAGATTTATAAAGAAACTGTATCAAGCTACCCAGGAGTTGGTTCTCCCCCGCCCCCCATCTTGAAGGTTCAAGACACTGGCACGAGAAGCATCAGGGACAGGAATTGGGTGTGTGGGGATGGACAGCATTAAAATGGCAAACACAGGAAACAGTTTGGTTCTTTTTCCCTCCTATGCCTTTGTCTGAGAAATGGGGTTATAGCAAGAACTGCCCAGAGGAACTGGTGAATGCAAGAACATCAAGAAGACTTAGTGTGGCTAAAAAAGATATTAGACCTTAGCGCCTGATCTTGGGCAGAAGAGGAAGAGAAGCAATCGCGCCTTTTCCAGCAGACAGGCATCCAGGTTGGGGGGGGGAGGGGAGGGCAGGCAGGCAGCCCAGAGGAAAGAGAGGTGAATAAAAGGGTGCTCAAAAACTCCTCCCCATTCATTGCATTTAAAAAAAAATCTTTTCGCAGCTTTCTGGATTGCCATTTTTTACCACCTTATTGCAAAGTTGGGGTTCAGAATGTTCGAAAGAGGTCGTGCTGACCAGGCAGCTGCGACTGAGAAAAGGGGGTGGTGGTGGACTCCGTGGTTAGGAGGGGAGCTGGCATGTTGGGGAGGAAGGGTTGCACGGCGGAGGCAAAGACTTTCCACTCTGTGCCATGCATGCTCCCCGCCCCCCAATCTGTCCCCCCCTCCCCCAGCTAAGGATGGGTAGACCTGGCAGAAGGCTCGTCCCAGGCACTGGGGGTGTGCGTGGGGGGCTCGTTGGGGGGGGGGG